CATGCTTTGCCTTTAATGTGTTCGAGACAATTAGTTACTGTTTTTTCAGTAAATGTGTTCTCCGGTTGCTCACTTTTACTAATACCCTTATATATACTTTCTCGTGATATATCTTTATATGGTTGTTTTTTCTTTAGACAGTCTCTGTTGGTTGTCTAATATGAGCAACAATAAAATTAGCTTATTTTAGTTTTCTTTTTGACAACCATTTCATTTTAGTCAATCTTATCTTTTTTGGTGTTTATCTTTCTGTTCTTATTTAACTTCTGCTATTCAGCTTGTCAGCTTTTAATATCCTTTGACTCTCACTAATCAACTATGAGGTAACACCCTTTACTCCCTGTTCTTCTACCGTTACTCCCATCTTTGGTTTCCTCTTAGATCCATGGTTAAATTTACTTATTGCTAATCAACAGTTCTCTTGCTGAGGGCTCCCCAGTCATGTCTTGGTTGAATAGCTTGTCCCCTAATAGATTACTTAAGAAGAGCTAGCTCATGGATGTGATGTTACCTGAGTTCTTAACATGCTAGAAACTTTTTCTATAGTGTACTTGAAAGACCTCTTGAATAGTTTCAAATCTCTGGTTCACCCTTTTTTCTTGACTGCTTGTAAAAGCTGTTGAACTGGTGTATGTATGTGTGTTCAATCTTGTTGGCAAAAAACACTGATACTAACTTGATTTTTTTTTTTTTTTTCCTTTGTAAGTGACTTGATCTTTTTGCCTAGGGTGCCAAAGGACTTTATCTTGAAAGGCTGGTAACGTAACTATGCTACATCTCAGAGTTGACCATTCTGGATAGATTTGCTAGGTACATAGTATATTCTCTCATTGCTTACATTTAGGTCCTCCTTTATTTCAGAGACAGTTTCTTGAGTCATTACTTTAAAGATTAGCTCTGTTTTCCTATTTCATTATTTGCTTTTTCGGGAACTCCTAATGTATGCATGTTGACTCTTCTTTCACTGGCTTCCATATCTCTCACTTTCTCTCCCATCTGCTTGTTTCTTTTTCTTTGCTTTTCTAATTGTTTGCTATACTTTTGTGTAACCTGTGATTTAGTCCTGTTTCTGCAGTAATCATGTCCTTTTCTTTTTTCAGTTCCTTTCTTTTGTTATGTGAGTTCCATTTCACGTGTATATCTTTCGTCCATCTTTTCTGAATTGTTGCATTTCTGTTTCATAACATTCATATTGTCAGTTGTTTACTCTTAATCATGTGTTATACTTTTCCTCTGCTTCATGGAAATTTTGAGGTAGCCTGAAATGTTTGGATCTTCATTCTCTGCTTTTCCTTATATCTTTGAATGGACACTGCAGCTTTATATTTTTTATTCATATTTGGGCCAGCTCCTGTGGAATCAGTGGGAGGATTGTGACAAGAAGGAAATTGGTGTAACTTTGAGTTTTCTCAGTTCAGAAGCTTTCTTTCTGTTAGTGAAGGGAATGCCTTGTCTTCAGCATCTTTTTGTTTTCAGGTTTCTTCTAATTTCCTTGATCATCCTGTCTTGTTTCAGTAGGGCCTTTTTCTCCAACCCCTTCTCTAGTTACTGTCTTCCAAATTGTCTCTCCTGTTCCCCACCCCATCCCTGCAGTGTTTTCTCAAGACAGCACTTTTGGTCTCAGATCTTCTCCAAGCTTCCTCTTGACAGTCTGTTGCCATATAATAGGCCCACTTTCAGTAGTTCCTAGTTAAATTTTCCTTCTGGGGAGAAATCCTAGCTGAAATTACCTGACTTCTACCACCCTGTAGAGTTTTCTGACCTCCTGGCACATCTGACCTCTTGCCACACTGGGGTGGGCTCCAGCCTTGTTCTGCTGATCTTCGCTGGTTACTCCCAGCTTTCTCATAAATTCATGCTCATAGCCCTCCTCTGTCCCCTGCTAACTGTAGGTTTAGCTTCCGGGAGTTTTTATTTGTTCTCCTTGCTGCTCTGTATGGTTTTGAAAAAAAGTGTGAGAGGATCCTGGGAGACTGTCATCATCCTTGGGGAACTCAGAAACACAAACCCTGCTGAATTTTTATTTTTTCCTTCATCCAGGAGAAAGCTGGTAATGAAGCAGCTTTCATTGCTAGCATGGTAGACTGTATTTTATACCACCATGAGCGAGCACCAGAACAACAATCCAATTAGAAGAATTCTGAGGAAGTTGTAGTGTAGTCAGTGAAGAAAACTTCCAAACTAAAAAGACATTTCAAGCCATCTCAGGGGTACCCTCTTCCTTTGAAACAATTTCTGTTCTCTTTTGACATCTTTTTGTACTCCTTTGATAAAACAAACAAGTAAAACTCTCTTACCTCTTTAACTGTTTTATGTTTCTAAATCCACTTAGGAACTTGAGCCAATATGCAGATAAGTGAAACCATGAACGTAGAGGAGAAAAATCAATTTTAAAATCTGAATTATCCAGGAAGTTAGTTGTACATATATCATAGATTGGGTTTCCTGGGAAATAGCATCTGAGATGGAGATGTTTATTGGGGAGTGCTGTTAGGATCAAATGTGTGAAAGGCGAAAGGAAGTGGGGTTGGGTGCAGGAGAAGTTGGATTGCAGTGCAATCCCAGTGTAGTCTCAGGTGACACCTCACAGGGAGCTCTGGAGCCAAGGCGCCCTTAAGCAAAATGGTGAATAGTCATTATATCTGGCTGGACAGGATTATGTGGGATTTTTTTTTTTTTAACTTTAATACATACCTATTTTAATGTAAAAAATGTAAACATTGTTTTGTATTCAGAAAAATATAAAGCTTTCTCTTTTGGAAAAAAAATGCAAATCTGTGAAAGAGCATGTTTTTTCAGTCAGTTGGTACTTTCAGTTCTGAAGACTCTAACATCTAGTTTTAAAACCTATAGTGTCTCCCTGTCCTAGTCTCTTAGTGCTGCTATAGCAGAAATACCACAAATGGGTGACTTTCACAAACAAATTTATTTTCTCACAGTTTTAGGAGTTTAGAAGTCCGAATTTAGGGTGCCAGCTCTAGAGGGGTTCTCTGTCTGCTCTGGGGGAAAATCTTTGTCTCTTTCAGCTTCTCTTCCTCAGTTCCTTGGTGGTCTCTAAGTGGCATCAGTCTTTCCCCATCTGTGCTTCCTTGTCTCTGTGCCTCATCTGCTCCTTTATATCTCAAAAGTGATTGGTTTAAAACACGCACTGCACTGATATGGCCTCATTGACATAACAAAGAAAGTCCTATTCCCAAATGGGATTACATCCACAAGTTAGGATTTACAGCACATATTTTTGGGGGTCACAGTTGAATCCATAATACTCCCAAAGTTATTAATGGGTATTATTTTTGCTTTTCAGCTTGGGCAATGGTAGGTGGTGGTTCAAATGTGAAAGCCCGCACTTCCTACAATGAGAAGACTCCAAGGATTGTTGTGTCCCGTTCCCATTCAGGAATGGTCAAACAGGTTGCTCTTCAGACTTTCGGAAACCAGACTACAATTATACCTGCTGGTGGTGCTGGTATGTTCCTGCTCACTTCCGCTCACACGGAATGTTACCAGCAGGGTCCAGGCTTGAGTCAGGAGACTAGCTTGGTTGTCCCAAGCAGGGAAGAATGTGAGAATGGAGAATGTTCTTTAAAGGCAGGCCTGGTTCCTAATTGGTAACCTTGAGGGTGGGTTTTCACTCGCAGTGGCCTTCTTATAAGAAAGAAGGAGTCTCACAATGGTGATGCCCGGACCCTGGAATAGCACAGAAGCATTTTCCCATCAGTGGTGTGCCATCAACGAATGCTTCATATACAGTGTGATTACCAAATAATTGTCCCATTAGTTTAACTGTGGGGCTGTTGGGGAGGAGAGGAAAGATCAAACTCATTAGGATGCTTTTTATGGCAGAAAGATGCCAGGAATCTCCTAGGACTGTTAGGATGGCTGATCTCTGGGTTACTTTTAACACCCTGAACTCCACAGCTTGTCCCAAGGCAGCACCATGGCTGGGATGAACCAGAGTGTCTAGTGCCTGCCCAGCTTCATGTTGATTCTGTACCAGTGTATACCTACATGTATTAAGTCGGCAGTCAGCAGGCTTTCTGTAAAAGGGCCAGGTAGTAAATACTTCAGGCTTTGTGAGCCATGTACAGTCTCTGTTACATATTATTCTTTGATTTTTGTTTGTTTGTTTACAACCCTTTAAAAATATAAGAACCATTCTTAGCTTGAGGGCCGCAGAGAAAGAGGTTAGGGCCTAGGTTGACTCGCTGTTGTTTGCTGACCTCTGTTATGAGTGCTGTTCATCACGACAGACGTTTTAATCCAGATAAATAGCAAATTATAGTCAGAAAACATTTGTGTATGAAAACCTTATCAACACAGTAATAAAAAGAGAAGTAAAGCTTATTAACTTTTAAGCCTAATAATTTTAATATGTTGGTTGCATGTATCTGTCTTCCTTCATATGACTTCATTGTTTCCTTGTAGGTTTTCTGTTAGGTTAGCTAGTAATGTCCAAAATACCAAGAATGGATTAAACTAGATTCTAGACCCAGTTTCTTCTGCATTTGTTTTATTATTTTATTGTTTAAAACCCACCTTGTTAATAAAAGGACTTAAATGGTATTGTTACTGTTTGTTCTCTCCATTCAAATCATCCTGCCTCGACATTAAAGTGAAAATTATGTGTGTTTAGCTTCAGTATATGTCATTCCACAGAAATGACACATACTATGTTTCATTCCATAAAAAGCAACCAAAACCAAAAAATAGATTTAAAAAGTTACAGGCACATGTACTTGGTTATACTTGAGACTAGCTTAATACGTTTACTTTGCAGTGTATTTTTGCTCATTTGAGTTTAATGTCTGTGCTGTTACTTTTTAAAAACCTTTGTATTTTGAAATAATTTTAGATGTAGAGGGCAGTTACAAAAATAGTACAGAGACCTCCTGCTCACCCCTGCTGTTACATTTCACAGTGTAAGCTGCTTTCTTAAAAAAGTAAGTTGCTTTCTTAAAATCCTGCAAACAGTAACCAAAATCCTATGTTTGTTATTTTAGGTTATAAAGTTTTGGCACTCTTAGATGTGCCAGATAAGAGTCAAGAAAAAGCTGATCTGTATATCCATGTGACATACATCAAGAAGTGGGATATATGTGCTGGCAATGCCATCTTAAAAGCGCTTGGGGGGCAAATGACTACCCTGCGTGGTGAAGAAATTAGTTACACTGGTTCCGATGGCGTTGAAGGGGGACTCCTTGCGAGCATCAAGATGAACCACCAGGCTCTGGTCAGAAAACTCCCAGATCTGGAGAAGATAGGACACAATTAGCATAACTGACTGCAAGGCCCAGCTCTTCCAGAGCCTGAACCTCCAGAAGCTTCAAGGGGTGTTTCTATGCGGAGACTATGCATGGTTAAGGCCTTCCGAACTTTTGAGTATTTATGAAGCATCAGAGACTTATTTTCCCTGTAATAGGATGCAAGATCAGGGAGAATGGGTTGCTTTGTGTCTCAAGTATTGTCTTTATTTTTGAGACTATTTTCGTACAGTTGTCATACACAAGGCACATATATATATTTGTGAATTAAAATCTATAGCTGAGTCTACATGGTTATGAGTCACCATTTTCACACAACATCATGAATCTTCACTATTAGTATTTTCATAAAGAATTTGGCTGAAGAAAGGATTGATTTTGTGTAGATGTTTAATATAACTTTATAATTAAATCTCATTGAAAATAAAGTAATTGGGGATTTTTACTCCTAATTTGGATGGAAAGCACAAGAAACCACACATCCATTAATATGCAACAAATGCTCTGTTACTGAGTGTTTCTTATGGATTAAAATAGAAAAAAGCTTAAATGGATTTTTTCTTTGAAAGTTTAGTAACAGATTCACCAGCTAATAGAAAATATAGATATGATGGTTTGCATTGTATTGTAATTTCTGTGTGTGTGGTTTTTTGTTTTAGCTTTTTTTTTTTTTTTTTTTTAAACAAAATGTGTTTAAACCCACGGGTTTAACATTTCTGCCATCTTGCTCATAATTTTCATTTTCCCTATGAAAGATGCATGGTTCCATCTGTCTTTCCTTCTCGACCAACATTCAGTCTTTATCCTGCAAGGTTTGGTTTAAGGTTTCAGGGCTAGCACTAGGGTTTTGGTACATTTTCTCATTAGGAATAAGATATACTATAAGACAATATAAGAATATGAATGATTCTGTTAATTGAAAGTTACTTGACATTACATGAATGGAACTAGCTTTCATTATTTTCAAAAACACAAAATTTAACTTTGTTTTAGTACTTGGGAAAAAAAAAAGAAAAACCCACCAGGTTTGTATGTAGAAGTTTCTCTTGTTTTCAAGAATGAGTTGTGGTTGCTTTTGCCATGGTTGCTTTTACCATTAATAAATGGATCTAACCTGATCAAACTCTCAAAGTAATATATTTTGAGAAAATAGTTTCCCTTTAGATTAAAACATTCAAGGTTACAGCTGTTCTTTAATGACTTTTTTTTTTTTAATTCAGTCTACAGAATCTGATTGGAAGAAATGTGACATACTCTCTTGTGTCATTGTAACTGGAACCTTTGTGAGCTGTCTTTGAGAAGTCTAGTTTCTCTCAGTGTGGTACATGGAAACTTCATGTAAACAATATTATTTCATGTAACTTCAATGTCCTTATGTTGTATAATACACTGATAAGGAGAGGGATTTCTCATTGTTTCTTTTCTTATTTTTTTAACTTAATGCTAGGGCAACTTTCCATTTATTTTCCTATCTTGGAGGTATAATTGACCAAAGAGTGGATATTCTAGCCTGGTGGAATATGCATACAACTTTAGGTTTGGATGTTATACTGTCCAAAGTTTTAATGCCTCATTAATTAACTGAATCTAGTACAATGCACACTTTTCCACCTGTTCTCTAGCAACTGGTCACAGATCTGATAAGGTGCTGGGCCTCATCAGGTGGGCTTTTTTGTTCAGTGAAAATTTATTTTTGATGGTTGGAACACTTGGCGTTTAAACAGGACATAGGAATTCTGAAAAGAGTATCAGATGAGATGAAATGCTTTTTTCTCAGGAGAGATGGCAAAGGCTTACTTAGGCTATTGCCAGAGACTTATGGGATAAGCTTTTTTGTCATAAGTCAAACTTGTAGGGAAATGGGACTGGCAGAGTAGGGAATAGAATTAAATTGGATTTTTTTCCCTTTAATATTATATGAAAATTTTCTGATTTAATGGAAACAAAACGAGTTCATATTAACAAACATGATTGGTTTTATTTTTAATTTCATTCATCTGTATGTAGATAATAACTTTGTGAAGGGTTCGTATTGTGTGCAGAAATTAAGATACTGGCTGACAGATGCATTATTTTTATAATTTGTTGGGTATAGTCTAGTTACTAATGATTTTTAAGTACTTTTACAGAATGTTACTGTTTTGTTTGTAAAAGTCAATATACATTACAAAATTACTGTGTGTACTAAGAACAGTGTCTTTATTTATGTGAGAGATTATTGTGCCAGAACATACCTGTAAAACACCTTCATGAATAAGTAGAATTATTCAGAGTCAAGTAATATGTCCCAAGATTACATAAATTATTTCTAAAGCATAGCAAAATACCTAAGTAGGCAGTTTGCTTTTAGTAATCCCTACCTTTCCAACGACTGGTCTTCTCTTTCCTTCATTTTGGCCCTTATTCAGAGGATAATTTTCCATTAAAAGTGAGTTTTATACATGGCGTTTAGTAGAAGCCATGACATCAATAACCTCAGTATCCATCAGATGGCCCCTTCCTCTGTCCCATCTCTACCCTATTATCTACTTCCCTTGCCCATTGTCCTCTTTTATCTTCCTAGTATACTGCCTTAAACACTTACCCCCAAGTATTCTTTTGTACCCGTTTCTCTCAAGATTGACTGCACTCTTATGATAGAACTGAGGCCCTAATAAACTCACTGGAGGAGATCAAGCCTGGCAGAAACATGCTTGACCATTCTTTTTCAAAGACTTGCCTTACAGAGGAAAGGAAGACCACCTTCAAAACCACAAAGCTTTAAACTGTAAGGTCTAATCTAGTACTGTGTCTTTACAAAGCATTCTGACCGATCCCTCAACTATATAAATGTAGAAAGTACAGGAGAGTTGGGTAGATAAGTCTGTTCAAGAAAACGGTTTTCCTGTAAGAGTTGATGCTTGTATCTCCATTTCATTTGACCTTACGTGGGCCTTTGTTTGTCTTTGTTATGTTTCGATTGTCCTCTTCCCCAATTTTAGTGTTTTTTCTTTAAGTCAATAATATTCAAATGAATTGTTCATAGCTGTATAATGAAATAACAAACATTTTTGTCTATTTTAAGTAACTGTTGGGTGAGTTTTCCCTGTTTGCTGGATGCACCCTTTGAATATTTTGCAAATTGTGTCAGGAGGTGAGGAGGGGCAGTGGCTAGAAGAGAATGGAAGGAATCTAGAGTTCCTCAGTGGAAGGATCACAGAGGGCAGATGCAGAGTAAACATGTGCCTTGAGCCCTATGATCAGTAACTCTGCCCTCATCTCCGATGTTTAATTCAAAAAAGGGATTGCACTCAGGCCTTAAAGGTGACAACCAGCTCTGATAGCCCAGCCTAAGTAGAGCAAGCTGGAGTGCTACCCTTATCCCAAAGGAAAGAAAATACCCAGCTTTCCTCTCTTCAAGATGGCCTGTTGGAGATAATCTTAGGTTATTCTAATTGTAACTGCCTATCTTGGCTATGTGTTGGATTGGTCCTGGATAGAAACAATGAATTTGCATTTTAGATGTTGGTTGAATTTGAAGGCTTATTTAATTATTTTTAGTATATGTGTACAAAAAGTGTGTCTTGTAACTTGTGTAAAATAAACCTAGCTCATATATGGTTTCATATTTATCCTAAAAAAAAGTTGTGCCTTAACAATAGGGCATTATATGTTAAGGGAAAACAACCATTTTTTAATAGAAGGGAAAAATAGGAACTTTTTGCCATTAAAATTTAAGTTCTTTTAATTTTTTTTTTAATATTAGATTTGGGGGAAATTCATTCAAATAAAATTGATATAAAATATTTTTGCATAATCTAGCATTTTCAACTAAAGTACATTTTTATAAGAAACTGGCATCTTGATGTATATAGGTCTGAAATGGTACTTCATCTTTTGATCTTTAATTTAAATTAATACAAGATCAGGATAGATGACTTTTTCCACTTTTTAATAAATAATTTCAATGTGCTCTTATAACTGTTCTCCCCGTCCTTTAGAATCATTTTGGGTTAAAAAAAAAAAAGCTATCCATGGTTGCATATCAATCATTCCTTAATATTACACGATACTGTATTTTGTGTGAATAACAGACCAGAACAGTTCTTAGCAGGGAGAGGGCTCCAATTCTAACAGTTTACCGAGAGGATGAGAAGAATTGAGATTTAGAGGTTGTGGTTTTATGAGGTTCTGGTTTACGTCAGTTATTTTTATTTCATTAAAGCCTGGCAAGTGTATGAATTCCAGTTTACTACTGGGAAAAGCTTACAAGAGCTTTTTTAAAAAAAAAAATTTTTTTTTAAGTTGGTGGTGAATTAATTATTTGGGAAAATGAGATCTATAAGTAATTCTCCTTCAAGATAAAATAGTAAGCCCAATTGTCAGAAGTTAAGGATGATGAATAATATTAAAACAGCTTGTTATATATTGTGTTTGTAAGGGTTCCCAAAAGTATTATAATTAACATAACTTGTGTAAATTGTAAAAGCAGAAACTGTGATGTTTGATTAGTAGTATCCATTAAAATTCTCTTTTTTTGTGCATGGTACATTTTTATTCAGGAAAGACATGTGCATCCTATATATTTTTAAATGAGAAATAAAGTATACCCAGAGTCATCATTAGATCAATTAACCTACGAAAAGATTTCACCTCTATCCCCAAATGATCTCTTCTAGCCCACTCTGTCATCAGTGCTTAGTTAAGGAGGACGCATTGGTGGACTTTATGTGTAAAATACGGAATTTGATTTTCCATGTACCATTACTATCCATCATTGGCAGTAGCCAGCACTAGTTTTCTAAAATCTCATAGGACAGACCATGTTCTTCGTGATGAACAATGGCAGTGTCAGTGCTTGTCTCTCCCGTTTGACAATGTTCTTCAAGCAACTAGACGTGTATATGCAGAGGGGTTGGGTTTGCATTCAAACTATGAAAATTGTGCTTCTTAAGTCCCTGCCTCTTTCAGATTTATATTGTCACCTTCATTTCCTGTTAATCCCTTCCTTATGCTTATTTAATGATGGGAGGGATTAAAATAAAAATAGCTTTGAATTCCCTCCCCTTCACCCATTCGAAGCTGTAGAGCAATTAGACTTCCCTGGGTGGCGCAAGCAGTTTGCCCTTGACTACTAACCTAAAGGTAGGTGATTCAAACCCACCTGCAATGCCATGGAAGAATGACCTGGTAATCTGCTTCCATAAAGACTAAACCAAACCAAACTCGTTGCTGTCGAGTCGATTCTAACTCATAGCAACCCTGTAGGACAGTAGAACTGCCCCATAGGGTTTCCAAGGAGCACCTGGTGGATTCGAACTGCTGACCTTTTGGTTAGTAGCCATAGCTGTTAACCACTACACCACCAGGGCTTCCCTAGGACAGTAGAAATACCCCGTAGTGTTTCCAAGGCTGTAATCTTTACAGAAGCAGGCTGCCACATGTTTCTCCTGTGGAGAAGTTGGTGGATTTGAACCACTAGCCTTTTGATTAGCAGCTAAGTGCTTAACCACTGCACCACCAGAGTTCCTTCTGTGAAGATTACAGCCAAGAAAACCCTATGAAACAGTTTTACTCTGTAACACATAGTGTTGTCATAAGCTGGAACCGACTCAATGGCAATGGGTTTGGTTTTTGGTTTATGGCCCTGTATCTTCAAACTTTATATTGTC